TGGTTTCTTTCACTCAGTATAATATTTTTGAGGTTCATTCCTGTTGTAGCGTGTATCAGAGCTTCATTCCTGTTTATGGGTGAGTACTATTCCGCGGCGTGGGTGGACCGCACTGTGTTTATCCATTGATCAGCTGATGGACACTGGAGTTGTTTCTACCTTTTGGCGATTGTGACTAGTGCTGCTGTGAACACAAGCACACACATATTTGTTTAAACACCGACTTCTCTTCTCTTGGGTATGCACCAATCTTACAGATGAGAAAGCTGAGGCTGGGAGGGGGGTGAGTCAGTGGTCAAGAGAGTGAATTTGGAATGAGGTGAGATTTGGATCTGGTCTGAGGTTGGGCTCTGCCGGACACTCACATGTGACCTTGGGCCTGAGGAGCTACCAGGACCCCTGGTTCACAAGAAGAAGCCCCGGGAGGACCTGTTGTGAGCACTTGGTCTGTATCAGCTATTACATTATTAATAATAATAATGGGGGAAGCTGGGACTCCTCCTCTTGCCCAGAGCCCACTCCCAAGGGGTATCAGTCAGCGGGGCCTGCTTTGCCCCCCACCTCCACATGAGGTCTCCCTGAAGTTGGCTCACCTCTAGATAGCAGTCCTGGCCCTGTCTGGCTGTGGACTGGCATCTGCTCCCAGCAGCCCAACTGAGGTGGGGGTCCCCAAGAGCTGCCTCTGACTCAGCCTCTCACACAGCCCGCTCCCTAAGGGTCTGGAGCCCAAAGCCCTCCCTGTGTGACTGCAGAAGCCCCTCACCTTCTCTGCATTTGACCTTCTCAGCTATCCAGGTCTCGGCCCTTAGCAGCTGTGGAGGCGGGAGTGGGAGTAAGGAATGCAGAATTGGTGATTCTTTTCTTGGGGACAATTAGTGGCCCACGGTGCATACACTGTGGGCATCTGAGTCTGGCTCAGAGCCTTTTTGGAAGAAGGGGGACTAATTCTTACCAAGGGAAGGATTGAGTTCATTCCCATTTCACAGACATGGAAACTGAGACCCAGAGAACCTAAGAGTTATTGCCCAGCCAAGAGTCACAATGATTCGTTCATGCATCATGTATCTAGCTAACGTGTCAGGTGCTGCCTGGGGCTCTGCGGAGCCAGGAGGAAAACAGAGTCCCCGTTCCTTGGGGAGTTGACATTCTAGGAAGTGGATGGAATGGTAAGCAAGAAAAGGAAACGCATGACAGTTCCTCAGAAAGTTCCTCATAGAGCTACCCTGTGACCCAGCACTTCCACTCCCAGGTATGTGCCCAAGAAAAGTGAAAACAGGGATGCAAACAGATATTCGTGCACGCATGTTCACAGCAGCACTGTTCACAATCGCTAGAAGGGCAGCAACCCAGATGTCCACCAATGGATGAATGAAGAAACGAAACATGGTCCATCCCTACTGTGGATAATATTAGGTCATGAAAAGGAATGAAGCACTGATAGATGCTACAATGTGGATGAACCTCGAAAACATCAGGCTAAGTAAAATAAGTCAGACCGAGAGGGACACATATTGTATGTTTCCATTTATATGAAACATCCAGAATAGGCAAATCCATAGAGACAGAAGGCAGATGAGTGGTTGCCAAGGGCTGGGGGAGGGGAGTGGGGAGTGACTTCTAATAGGTATAGGGTTTCCTTTTGGGGTGATGGAAATGTTCTGGAACTAGATAGAGGTGATGGTTGCATGACATTGTAAATGCACTAAATGCCATTGAATTGTACTCTTTAAAATGGTGAATTTTATAGTATGGAAATTATATCTCAATTTAAAACAAACAAAATGAAAATACAGAGCTTGTTAAAGGGGGAGAAAAATCAAGCAAGGCTGGGGAAGAGTGGGTGTGGGAGAGGGGACGTAGTAATGCCAGCAGCTGGCATGGACTTAGGGCCTCCTGCCTGAGCTGTCCTGAGTGCTGTATGTTGTTTATTTCATCCTGGCCTCTGCTCTGTCCCTCAGGGACATTTTAAAGATGGGGAAACTGAGGCAGCAAGAGCCAGAGCAAACCGCTTGAGGCTTCGCAGCTCGTAAGAGGTGGATGCAGATTAAGGGGAATAGCACAGATAGTGAGCATTGATTAGATGTTGGCCTATCTAATGTATAGAGAAGCACAGGGAGGCCCCCTGGGAGCACCAGCAGCTTGCTCTGAGGCCACTCAGTGGTGAAGGGCAGACACGGTGGACGCCGGCCTCAGCATGAGGCCACGGGAAAGCAATGCATCCCCTCGTCCCCAGGCCTCAATATCTTCCTCTGTAACACCTCAGGGTTACAAGGAGGCCTCTGAGCTCCAACCTGGGGCTGTGAGTCCCACAGCTGGTCTAGAGCAGAGGAGCAGGTGGCGAGGCCCCTGCCTCTGGGAGAGCCATGCCAGCTGTGGGCCAGATGGTGGCCAGGCCTGCGGACACTGCCTGCTGTGTCCCTGCCTGCAGGCTCCGCCAGATCGCGGGTCATCATTATTGGATGAGGATGTGCAGGAACCGTCACCGCCCTCCAGGACCTCCACCTGCCCGTGCCCCATCCCAGTTATGACAGCTGCTCCGTCTCAGGCCAAGAACCCTAGGGACAGTCCCTGGCCTTGCTCTGCCTCATCCCCGCGTCTCCTGTTGGCTCCACCTGCAAAGTGCATCCCAGCTAGGACCACCTCCCACCCCCCACCCCACCCCCCGGCTACCACCCTGGGGCAAGCCCCATCATTTGGCCTGGAATATTTGCCTAGGTAATGTCCCTAATTCAAGATATTGCCCCTGGTTCTTCACGTTGGTAATGTTCTCTCTGCTCACAAGCCCCTTTTCTCTCCTCATTTCACGCACAGTGGTCCACAAGGCCCTCCATGACCTAGGTGACCCCTTGTTGCAGCTCACCCATCTTCTTCTCCCCTCTCCCTCACTTTTCCCTGCCAGACAACACTCCAGGCATTCGCCTGCCTCAGGGCCTTTGCACTGGTTGCCCTGTGCCATGTGATCTTGGAGCACCTAGTGTGTCCACAGCACCGTGTGTCTGCAGTGTGCTATACATGAGCACACAGCGGAGGCCCAGTGAACCTCTTCTTGCTCTTCTTTGGCTGTGTGTCTGTGTTTGACGTGTGGGTCGAGTCTGGGTGTTTATGAAGTGTGCGTGCATGTGGATGCCATTGACTGCCACAGTATGTGGGGCGGGCGTGTGAGCTGTACGTCTCTGCTGAGCGGAGTTTGATGCCTGCATGTAGTTCATCTGGAACAAAGGCTCCAGCGGCGGGCCGACTGCAGGTGGGTGAGGGTGTGTATGCAGAGTTTGCTGGAACTCGAGCTGCTCAGGCACTCATGCATTCAACAGTTATTGAGTGCTTATTGTGCGCTAGAGAGGTCAGGAGGGCCGCCCTTTAGCACCTGTTATCTATCAACTTGTACAATGTCAACTCCTGAGCGTTTTACACAAATGATTGAGCACCTACTGTCCGCCTGGCCCTCTGCTGGAGATGGATCAGTTGGGTCTGGTTCTATCCGCAGGAACCCACCGAGGCAGGCCCCTCGCTCCCTTCTCTGGGGTCTCCAGACCCATGTCCATCCCCTTCTCCCAACACTGACTGCAGGGAGGGCTCTGAGCCCTGTCTGGACGCTTGGACCCTGCCCGAGGCTGCACGAGGGAGAGTTTTCCAACTCAGAGGGTGAAAGAATAAATGGGCTCAAGGCTGGACAGAGGATCCCAGGAGTTTGGACACTTCCAGGGCAGAGATTCTAGTTTTTCAGTGGGTTAGGGGTAGGGGGTGACCTTGAAGGCTCTGGAAGCTTTACAGAGACCTTGTTGGCCCTGGGCTCCATGGGGTCCAGAGCAGAGAGGGAGGCAACAAGGGAGAGGAAGAAAGGAAGGAAGAAGAGCAAAGAAAAAAAAAGAAGGACACAGATGCAGGACTCTGAGCCCTGACTGAAAATTGGGGTATTTGGGGGGCTGGAGCTTGGGGATCCAAGGGGTTGGGCCTGGTGGAATGGACTTTGGGGGTGTAAACATGGGTTTGAAGGGTCCGCCGGCAAGGATTTGGGGGAATGGGAGTTGGAATTTGAGCAGATGATGGGGGAGATAATCTGAGGGCAGGGGCTTTGGGGTGCGAGGACCAGAATTGTGGGGGAAGCAGGAGGTTTGGGGCTCTGATGGCAGATGATTGGGGTCTGAAGGTGGAGGGTCTTGGGTGTGAAGGTGGAGGCTAGGACAGGGCAGGGTTGGAAGTCTGAGGCCTGGGCGCTGGGTGAGTTCCGATGTCTGAGGGAGGTCTTGGGGAAGGAGTGACCCTGGGAGGGGGAGGGGAGGTTCTCAGAGCTCTTGCCCCTCCTCCCATCTCGGCCCCTTCCCTCCCTCTTCCCAGACCAGACCCCACCCCAAACCTGCCGCACTTGACTATCCTGCTTGTCCCTACTCCTAACCCCGCTTCCCCCTCCACCCACTCTTCCCCGTCCCACCTTCTCCTCACTCCCCTTCACAGGCCACGCCCCCACCTCGCCCGCTGCCTTTGCCCCGCCCTGTCTTGAGCCAGTCCCCGCCCCCTCCATAGCCATGCCCCCTCCCCTCCGCCCTGTCTCGCCAATCCCCTGCCCCTCCTCAGATCCGACCCTGCCCCTCGTCCCAGACTCCACCACTCGCTCCAGGCCTTCCCACCCTCTCCTCTCAGCTGAACGGGCCCCTGCCTGGCTCCACCCACTCACAGACTCCGCCCCCTCCCCGACAGGACCCTCCCCTCCCTCAGAATCGGCCCCTCCCCTCACCCCCAGGCCCCGC